TGCTGCCAGCAGAGCCACAAGCTGGAGGAAGTCCTCTGGATCCTCCAGACAACTTAATTATCCAGAATCACAGAGAATCTCCAAAGATTTTCTGTTGATAGCTCTGTTTTGGCTAGGTTTTGTCTTAGTTCCTAAATGAGGATTTGATGAGTGCTGTCCCAGAATAAGCTTTTGGAGATGTTTTACTTTGTGGTTTAAAAGTGAAGGTCCCATGTCCCATATAGGAAAGAGCAGATTCTTGGCCTGTCATAGAGAAATACTGAGCATTTATTTCTGCATGTGGACCTCAGCTTTTTTAGAGTAAAAGCATGAGTGTTGAGTGGATGGTAAAAGCAGTTGCTTTTGGTCCTAGCTTGTCTATGGCATTTTAAATTATTTTGAGATAAATTACAGGATAGATGCAAAAATTATATAGGCCTTACAATAATCTGTAAAAAATTCTATAATATAAAGGAGAGGGAAGGAGGACAAGGGACATAGAATGACTAGTTTTTTTGACTCTTCAATGGCAAAAGCCTCAACATTTCAGATAACTCTCTTAATTTCCTTGATCAAATATGTCTCTTGCCTCTCACTAATTATTTTTTCTAATTGTATTAGAAAATTTCTATATATTAGCTGAAGAAAGTTTGTTGCATGCTGGTCAAACTATGTTGTGGCGCTCTCTCTTTTATTTTTATTTTCAAAAAAAGAAGCACATTTACTGTAATTCAAGTCAGCATCTTTTCCTCTCGGTATGTAGTGAGTACTAGGCAATATTGTACAATATATGTATGAACTAGAATAGAATAGGTAGATTTAGTGGTTTGTAGCACTGGATCTTTTAATAACTATGACTTTAAAAGGACTATGTGGAGCTACAGGTACACGCCAGACCTGGCAACAGGGCTTCTGTCTTCAGTTATGCTGAAAGCTTTGTATTGGTAGGTAGTTTGGACATTATCTACCAGTAAAAGCTAAGTTAATCCTGAGTTTCCTGTGTCCAGTAAGATGAAAACAGCATTTTTGCAGTTTTTAATGGGGAGTAGGAGACTATATATGCCAAAAATATTTCCCCAGAAAACTTTGTTTAATGACTGTCTGTCAAAAAGCTCAGTTCCTGTGTGCCTGGCAGATGCAACGTGTCTCCATTTCCTGCCCCTCTGAAAGCTCTGCAGGCTCAGTGATGATCAGTTTAGTTACCACAGGACTCCTTAACACCGAGGACTATCTTCCATCTGGTTTTAATCATGCTGAAAGGTCACTGTCAGGGTAAAATAAAGAAAGTTACAGTTCTAGTTTTGTTGTTTTTGTTACCATCTCCAATTCTGTAGTTTGGAGGCAGTTTCACAGTCTGCTCCGTCCTATTTTCTTCTGCATTTTTTACGTGGTTGACTGTGGTCCAGTGCTTCTTGCTTTTGTTCTACTCACTCCAAGTCCTGTTTCTCCCCAGTAAGTGAACACTGCAATCCCTGGCTGCCAAGCACAGCCACATGAGCTGGCAAGTGCAGGTGACTTTCCTTCACAAAGCAGACTCACAGGAGCCCTTCTGCGAGTTCCCACAGGACACAGAGCGAGGCCAGGGGACTTGCACGGTACCCAACAGTTTAAATTCTGGCTTCACTCATACACATGATTCCTGCACTGGCCATGGTGTATTGTAGTCAAAAAAGAACTCTTCTATTGCCCATCAGTTTAAGACTCCCAGTGTAGCATGGAGCTACAATACAATACAATACAAGTCTCAGGCTTGGAATAGCCTATTTTTTATAAAGCCTAACCCACTTTTCCCCAAAAAAATTTGGCTGGCCAGTTTGTGTCTAAGGTGATGTGATGTGAGAGTTGGGATTACCAATGTGGTCATGTGTAAAGCAGCATTTTGACATAGTGATGAGCAGTTGAAAACTGAACTTTTGTCCCCTTTGCAAGTCCTGGCTGAGTCTTTTCCTGTGCCTGAGTCTTGCTGTTGGTTACAGTCAGGGAGGGAGAGAGGAAGAGCAGGAGACTTACATGAAAGAAAAAAAAAAAGGTGTCACAGTATTTTTTGGTTGGTAAATAAATGAGGGATGAGTCTGAGGAGAGATAAGTACCTGCCCAACTCAGGGTTGAGTCTCTGTTCCTTGTGCATGAGCTGCCACATTGTAAAGGTAATGGGAGCATTGCTGGTCAAAAAAAACATGGAGAGCCAATCCCTAAATGTTATCTGCATTATGGAAAACAAGGAAATCCTGATGCTGAGAGCAGAATGATCTCTTCCTGGTGGGAATCTGCTGCACACAGGGAGAGCAGCCTCACATGTGGCTTTGTCCTCTTTGTGCTCTGAGCAAAAAGCAGCCGTGACCATGGTTGATCCTGGTTTGTTCAGGCAAAAAAATGTGATATTTTCCCAGTCTCCTGGTGTTTCTTTCCCTTTGCCCCAACACAGCTGGCATGGCCAAGGTCTTCACTCTGCAATTCAATCCATGGGTCCTCATCCTGCAGCCAGAGCTGCTGGAGCATCCCTTTGCACTACAGACACTGTGGGCAGGGTAAGGGCCAGCATTTCTTGGGCATGGATTGTTTCAAAGGACATTGCAGAATTATTTGCTTTGAATGAAAATATATATTTATTGTTGCTAGCTACCAGATCCTTTATCATTGTACTGTTCTAAATTTGCAGGTCTTCTGGAGTATGAATATCACAAGTTCCTGTAAAGGAGCTGTTTTTAAGATGTTGAGGCAGTTAACAGAATCTCAACCTAAGCATGTTTAGTAATGTTTAGACAGCAAGACAACTTTTTTATGAAACTCATTTTAAGTTAGTTTATTACATGCTGTTGGTAATATTTTAAAACAGGGAAAATATTTTTCTTTAAAGACAGAATGATATGTATGTTTTTTAACAGGTAACATAATTTAGTGTTTTCAAAAATGTTTGATGTTCTTGGTATGAAGTTTACTCATTCTTTTGATTTCTATGTTTCTTGTTATATTTTATCAACCTTTTTCCAAAAGAAAAGAGGCACATGTAAATAAACACCAGAAAAGAGTCCTATAAGAAATTCTGTTCAAACTGGCCATAAAACTATTAGTAAATATTTGTTATTGTTCATTAACTCTCAGCTACTTTGTTGAAAGAATTGATGTTGTATTTTCAAGATGAGAACAACTTAGCTAGTTTTGTCATAATCCTGTACTCTGTATAAAAATCTTTTTATAAACAAAGTCTAATAGGCTACCAAGCAATAATATATTCCATTGGGTGTGCACAGATTGTGATTTGCAGGCTGTAGTACATATTGTTGATACAGTTTATAATTGTCTTCAATCTCAACAACACTACTTTTGAAAAAGATCCATATTAACTTTGATTGTAAAAAACAAAGACTGGGCTGTTGCCTTGTGAGATATATTCATCCTATAGACTTCTCTGTGAGTGTCTGTGCCCATCGACATGAGATCTCTCTTAGGTGAAGAAGGAAACAGCTGTGGGTGACTTCATACTACAGAGGTAAAAAATAGTTTCAGTATAAACTTCATGACTGTTTCAATCTCCTGTTTTTCTTAGGCTATCTAGTATTTGTAACTTGACGAGAATGGTTCCCACTGCCACTGTAGCCCTGATAAAGCAAAAAAGCCTTTGCACTCTGGGGCCACTTGAGTTCTGCCTGACAGCTGCCTATTTTCCTCAAGGAATAACCTGGGGCAGGCTAAAGGGAGGGGTTTTTTTCAGAGCTGCAGATGAGGCTGCTCTTCTTTAAAGGCTCTGTGGGTTATTTTGTCCATTTCATAGGTGGTATTTGTCCATTTTGTTAGAAAATTCCACCCAAGGCAGAGAGGTTGCACTTTTGCAGGGGATCACAGGGACCAAGGTGTAAAACAGGCACAGGCTGTTCTGTGCCTTTCTTCAGTGCTGGGCTCTCTCTGATTTTTCCAAAATGGCAGGATCAGGATACCGGATTTTAAGTCAGCTCCATCATTGTTGCAGTGCACAGAATAAAAGAGCTTCAAAACAGCATCCCAGTCCATTGCCTGTGGATTCCTCCCAGCACTTCCCGTAGGACAAGTGTCCGTGTTGTTCTCAAGGTTGCCAGGCTGTGCAGGCAGCAGGTCCCAGTGGTGCTGGGAGCCCCAAAGAATGCTGGAAGAATTCCTGTTTTTTGTGAAATGCTTTGAAGAGAGAGAGAGAGACAGAGATGAGTAAATGCAAAGTGCCATCAGTAGAGGAGTCCAGGGCATTTTGTGACCTGGAGGGAGCATCTAAAATGAAATTGCAGCTGCTGGATTTGAGCCAAGCATTTAGAAAAGAGGATGATGAGTGAAAAGTGAAAGGCTTTTTGTGCTCACCCCAAGTGCACGCCAGCCAAGGTGTGTGTCTGTGAACACAGTAATTCCACAGGGCGTTTGTGAGTGATTAGGTGTTCTCAAAATGTGGCTTCAGCTCTCACTGCCAGATTCCTCTGCTCAGTGGCCACGTCCCAGTGACCAAGCAGCCTCACGTGCATCCCCAGCTGCTCACCCACGACAGCAGCAGCACACTCATCCCTGGGGAACCTCAAGCTCTTCCCACAGTACAGGCACCCTCTGCCCTCCCTTCCCCGCAGTAGCTGCTCTTATCCTGGTGGAGGAGAGGAACCAGGGAGAGTTTTTTGTAGCATTTGGTTCTTTGCACTTTAGTGGCTGAAACAGAAGGACCCTGCACCAGCCCTTTCCAGAGCACCAGCAAACAGAGGCAATGACCCAAGGACTTTCCCTTTGTGACTTTCCAGTAGCTAAAATGGCAACCAAAGCAGTATTGGTAATCCCAGCTTGGCCAGGCCTATGGACAGCCTTGGCATTTACTCTGGGAATGTTATGTGGGCTGAGCCCCCTGTGCAGGGCAGGGAATGGCTGTGTCTGACAGAGAGGCCGTGTGGGCACACAGTGTGCCCAGGCAGCTGTGAGCTCCACTCACTGAGCCATGGGGAGCAGAACCAGCCAAGGAATGAGTGAGGCACACCTTGCTGGAGCAATCCCACAAGCTTTGCAGGAGCTGGTTTCTGTAGTTTGCTTGGGCACCAAGTGTTAGGATATCTGCCCACTGGGACTCCAGGTCCCACTAAATGCCAGCCTGGAGCTTCAAATCCTCTTCAAATCCTTCAGCAGTTTTTTTCGTTGGGACTGTTGCTCCTGACACAGTGCTGCACTCTGGTGATTCCATTTTGACCTGGAGCTGGTTTTGGCTTTGGAGCCAGGGAAAGTGAGGTTTGAAGGATGAATCTAAAGGCATGTTCCCCTAGCCTCACCACACTGGGATTGTTTTCCTCCCGCTCCCTGCACGGTGAAAGGGCATCCTAGGGATGCAGTGCCTCCCCTGAGACCCCCTCACACAGCACTGCCATGGCCTGCCACCCACCAGGGATGCCCATGTCCTGCCAACGTTTTGTAGCAGTCCCACCTAAAAACTGCTTCCTTTCCAATCCTTGGAAGGAGCCAGGGGTCTTCTGCAGGGGCTCGGCAGCCCAGGCAGGCGGGATGTGCCACTATTGACAGCCAGGAGAAGACAGGGAGCTGCCTCTGTGCTGGCCAGGGAGCTTTCCTGCACCTTTCCTTTGCTTTCCCCAGCTCCCTCGGCTCCCTCCATGGGTCCCCACTTCCCTCTCGACACGAGGCCTTATTCCAACCCGAGGGGACTGAGGCTGCCCACGGTATCTCTCTGCACTGACGCATCCATCTCCCGCTGCCCACCGGGAGCCCCGGGGCAGTGCGGCAGAGCTGGCCTCTGCTCGGGGTTGGGGCCACCCCCAACCCATCCCTGCTCCCATCCCACTCTGCCACCGTGCTGGAGCTCTGCCTCCTTCCCCACTGCCAGGGCCTGGCCACTGTAGGGAAATCTGCTTTCACAGGTTAAACCTTTTTACTTCATTCATTGCTCCACAAAAAACAGTAAATTAGCAGGCGTGTTACCACACTCCTCTTGCTTTTGTCTATGAGTGGGGGCAGCTGAGATCTGCTCTTTTTGGCCTCTGTAACCCTCACCAGAACTTTCTGGAGGTTTTGAACATCGTTTGGTGAGATGTAATCTCTGTGGAGCCAGAGGGAACACAGGCAATGGAGCTGGGCAGCCTGCTTGCCCAGGTGGCGAGGGGCTCGCGAGGTGCCTGGGCTGCCTTGGGTGGAAGGTGGGACACGGTCCCGGCAGCGCCGGTGGGACGCCGGCCACTCGTCTGTAGTCAGGAGAGGATTCTGCTATACTTTTTTCCTGTCTGTAGGTTTTATTCAGACAATATGTAATGATTGAGTGATTTACAATTCAGTGTTAAGCTAATGAAAACGTTGATAATGGTGATAATAAAACCTTTTTTTTTTCCTACGGTGTGTTGGAGGTTTTCTGTGGAGTGTCTCTGTCCTCTCTGTTGCCACCACCATCATCTTCAGCCTCTGATTTCAGCTGGACCTTTCTCCTTGTGCCTGTATGGAAGGAGAGCAGCCTGGTGGTGCTGTGTGGAAGGGCTGTCACTCCAGCTCCCTCAGTCAGCCCCAGCTTCAAACCTGCATTTTCCTGAGCCACTTCTGGATGTAATTTGGCATCTCCTGGCACAGAGCTGAACTTGCTCCAGCTTGTGCTCTGCTCACCACCCCAGCCTAAAGCTCCTGCTGTTTTCTTTCCAAGAGCCTTCTTGGTCATCCCTGGCTATTCAAGGGTGATTTTGAAACCCTGGAGGTGAAGACTTCTGGCAGAAAAAACACCACCCCTGGCCTAGGCTGTTTGGAACATCCGGTGTGGGTGCAGGGGAGCCTGGAGACCCTCAGAGGTTTCTGGGTGTGCAGCTGCTGCCTGGAGGACCTGGAGCTGGTGGATCCTTGGGTGGGAGATGTCTGGGGGGTCCTGCTGGAGGGGTCTGTGGGAGGAGGTGGTGGTGCTGAGAATAGGCACCATTCTCTGGGGAGCTACTGCGAGTTCTTTTCCTATGGGAATGAGGGATCATAAAGTCATAGTTCACTAAGAATTTCTTAAAAGGTGTCATGCCTCCAAATCCCTCTGCAGGTCACAGGGTGAGACCAAGGGCAGCTTCCCACCTGCCCCAGCTACAGCCCCTGGGGGAGCAGTGATGGAAGGGGGAGGAGGAGGAAGAGGGTTTCTCTAGAGTGTCAGGGGGCAGCCCAGCATGTCCTAGCCTCAGACCACCACCAGTTTCCCCAGCAGGATGGGGGCTCAGGCCATCGCTGAGCAGCCAAGCAGAGCTACCTGGAAGCTCAGGCCGCATGGAAGTAGCAGCAGCCAGAGCAGGTGCCCTACTTGGCACTGTCACCTCGTCACCAGCGCTGCCCTCCAGGGTGTGGAGGTCCCACAGGTAGCCCTGCTGCCTCTGCTGGGCTGGGCCTTTGCATGGCTGCATCCTGGGCTCTGTGACACAACCATCCAGAGGGAGAGTGCAAGGCTGGCTCAGCCTTTGGATTCAGGTTTTCTCCTGTTTCCAGCTCCACCAGATATGGATTTTACTGGGGCAATACCATGCAGGTCTGACTTGAAGACAGTGGATGAGGGTGAGGGGTGCAGCTCTATCCTGGCCACTAGAAGGATGTCCAAGGCTGAACATGGAAAAGGGGAGATTTCCATCTGCTCAGCTCTGATGGCAAAGGGCAGCACAGCACAGCCAAACCTTGGGCTGAAATCTGTGGGGAGGGTGGGGGAGATGGGACATGGCTACAAAGGGGCTGGGCTGGTGGGATTAGCGTGGAGTGACACACTGAGGAGCTGAGAAGCCAATGAAAGCCTCATTTTTAAGCCTGTTTTCCACACTCACAACTTGCTTTGTTCATCCCCTCCTCCCCCTTTCTCTAAACCAAGGCTCACCCAGCTGTGCACATCTGGGTGCATTGAGAGGCAGGTTCTAGGCTTTCCAGCCCCTGGAATGTCACACACCCAAAGGGCCTGGGGGGCACCCAGGTGAAGGTGTCACAAACCAGCCCCTGGTGGCAGCCCAAGCAGCACCTGCATCCTCTCTGCCGCTGTGCAGCCTGCCCACAGGGAGCCAGCCTGGGCTTTGGGGCTTGGACACATCCCTCTGCTCTTCCCTGTGACAAATAATCAGCCACCACCAGATGGATTCACCTTTTATTAAGCTGCCACCAAGAACAAAAGGAGGAGAGAGAGCAAAGCCTGCCCTGAAACCTTCCCAATGATGGCAACTCTGCATGCCTTCCCCACCCCCAGGAAAAGGGGCTACTTCTGCACAAAAACCCCCTCAGAAGGTATTTTAGATAGAACTGAGAGTGAAAATGTCCCCTATTGGAGAAAAAAAATTAAATTAAATAGAGCTCCTACCACTGTCAGAGCCCTGCTTTCATGCAGATGGGACAGGATGGACAAAGGCCATGCTGGGGTCACCAGCTGGAGCCACCCAGGTGTGGCTGTACAGGTACCACATCCCACATGGGGATGAACATGGAGATGAATCCCCACCTCAGATAACTCCAGCAGCAACAAGCACAAACCCGTGGGCTCACAGGGGCTGGGAGGAGGGAGGAGCTGGCACAGCTGCTGGGCTGCCAGCTGGAGGAAAGGTGGGGAAGGGAGGGGTGATTTTAGCTAAATAAAAAAAAATCTCCTTAGGATCAAGCCCTTTGCAGGTGACTGTGTAGTTCAGGAAGGCTCTCCCTGGGGCTGCCCTTGGTACCATCTGGGCTCAGCACAGAGGAGAGCCGGGGCTGGGCTGGACTGGAGGAGTTCAGCTTCCCCTGGGAATGGGGCACAGTGTCCCTCCAGCCATTTCAGCCACCTACCTGTGGTGGTGAGGTATAAGAGGCAAGGTGTGCTGGTGGGCAAGTGCGTGAGTGCAGGGGCCTCCAGCTTCCAAAAGCACTGAGCCAGCCACAAACCTGAGCTCAGACTCAGAGGGCTGCTCACAGGAGATGAAGTTCCTCCGTGAAGCTGTCCCTGTGTGCTGAGCTTCAGGACTGCAGCCCATTCCCTCCTGCCCACCTCTCCCTGCCCACCCACCAGCTGCAAATCTACTGTGTGGCACTGACTTACCTGCACCTGGTGCCAGGGGACAACTTAAAGGTCCCCAGCCCTGCATGGCTTGCTCACACACGCTGTGCTTTTGACACTCAGCAAATGCAACCCAGCCCATGGAGTAAGAGCAGCCAGAGCCAAGGCTCAGCAGGGTGGGAGGGCAGCAATGCACCCTTTGGGGAGCAGGGAGGTGGGAGAGCAAACCTACAGCTCAGTGGGCTTCACATCGGGGCAGGGGGGCTCTTGCCAGTCCCAAATGCTCGAACCTACTTGGGAGAAAAAAGCAAAGAAAAACTAACAGTGTCATCCAGTGCCTGCAAAAAAGGAATCATCATTTCCTGACAGGATTTAGAGGCTCCTGCTGGGGGGAGGGAGAGGAACAGAAGAAATGAGTAAGAAGAACCTGACATCTCTGTTCTTAATTTATCATCGTAGTAAGACTCGAGCGCTGAGTACAGCTCGGCACGCGCTCCTAGATGGATTTCCTCCGCAGCCGGGGGTGCTGCCGGCAGCGAGGGCTGTTGGAAGACAAAGTGCTCCCCGGGGAAGAGCCGGTCTGACCCCGTGTGCTCAGGGACACCTCGTCGATTTTGTAGGAAATGGAGTTGTAGTACACAGGGTTGGTGTGGCAGCTCAGGGTCTCGGGGTGGGAGGGCGCCGGGCTGCCACACACTTGGGGTCTGTAGCACAGGCACGTGCAGAAGGATGGCACCGCGGCCGCCGAGGTGGCCGATTGACGCCGCTGCCTCTCCGCGTCCTCCTGGACCAGCGGGATCAGGTTCATCTGGCTCGTCCTGTCCTCCACAGGGAGAAAAATGGCATTGCTGCTGCGGCTGTCCTCTTTGGGCTTGAGGTGGATGTTGTTGCGGGCTCTCCTCAGCGAGGCTCGCTCTTCGGCGTCCCGCCGCTCGTCCTCCGAGTTCATCGTCAGGAACCGCAGCACCACCAGGTTGAGGAAGGCGCCAATGACGGTCAGGCCCACCAGGATGTACATGAAGCTGAAAGCCACATATGGGGGCTTCTTCTGCAAAGCCTCGTTCTTCTGCAGAGCCACAAAGTCTCCGAAGCCAATAGTGGTCAAGGTTATGAAGCAGTAGTAATAGGCGTGGAAGAAAGTCCAGCCCTCGAAATAAGAGAAGGCTGCGGCGCCGATGCACAGCGTGCCCATGCAGGACAGAAAGCCCACCAGGACCATGTTCTCCATGGAGACATGCGTTGTCCTCATGCCCAGACACTTCTTGATCTTCTTGAGCAGCAGCCGCACGACGGTGTTCATGCGCTCCCCCAGGCTCTGGAACATGACCAGCGTCAGGGGGATGCCCAGGATGGCGTAGAACATGCAGAAGACTTTGCCAGCGTCTGTGCCGGGAGCAGCGTGCCCATAACCTGTGAAGGACACAGGAAGGAGGAAAGGCGGTGTCAAGCCCTCACTGGGGTTTCCAGCAGAGCTGCCCTGTCACCAGGAGGAGCAGTAGAAAAATGGGGGAAAGAATGGAAAATGACTCAGTAACAGATCTGCAGACTATGCTAATGGGGCCATGGGATGCCCATCCCTTGGGATGATGGCACATTGCTGTATCATGTAGGCAGAACCTCATTTGACCTCTAAAGAGAGAAGGTACCCTTCTGATAGCCCCCAGTGTCACAGAGACCAAGTGGAGGTCTGGAGCTGGACTGGGGTCTGCAAGCCTCCTGGATAATTCAGAGGCCATGATGCTGTGCCAGGTGTGCAGGGTAACCTGAACCCCACAGCCAGGGGGAACAGAGGCTCTGCAAGATGCTGAGACCAACAGTGTCAGATCACCCTGTGGGAGGTGCACACCCAGCTAGGACCATCCACAACTGCCCTTGCAGGGGCATTGCCACCTCCCCTGCTCACCTGCTCCTCCTCCCAAGCCATCCAGTGACATGCCCATTTGGGTCTCAGCTCTGTGAGCACTTGCTGTGTGGCCTGTTGGACAGGAACCAGAGCAACCCTGCAACCCTGTCCTGTAGGGACGGTCCCCACAGGAGCAGCTCAGTATGGAAGGACTTCTGCAGACCCACTCCAGATTTACTCCAGTGTCACTAAGACTCAGACCTAAAGCACCACCGGACTGCTGGGGAGGAGGGGCTGTGCTGTTTAAGATGCAGGGTAGGGAGCATTTCTGCCACCGCAGCCCTGTCAGCCTTTTTCCTGGGGACAAGGAGCTCCAGGAGGACAAGGTTCTCCTTGAACGCCTTCTGAGATTTAATTTCTCCACCTTGGCCAGAGTTTCAGAGCTGTGACTCAAGGACACACACAATTACACTGAGGCGTAGTGAGGTATTCACTGCAATCTTCCGGACTCCAGTGATTCTGTGCCCACCTCAATTACAGCAGCTTAGCAGAAACCAGTGGCCCCTGACCTCAGAGGATGAGTAACGAACTCAGTGCAAGGGAGTCACATGGTGTGGGGAGTAACAGCATCCAAAGGCATCTAAAGGCATCTAAAGGCATCTGAGGCTTTCTTTTGAGTTGCTTTTACAAGAACCTACCAGGGCCTGAAACTTCCCTTCTGAAGGCACCTGCAGAACAGTGCCAGCTCCTTCCTGCACTGCTGCCAGGCCTTTCACAAACAGCTATTTGCATTTTCACTTTCTGCAGGAATCTGTGTGACTTTTGCATGGAAAACACGGGGGGAAACACCCTCTTGTTCCCTCACAGTCTTGTTCTAAGCTGTGACTTGGCTTCACCGCAGTCCTTGTTGCCTGTGGATTTCCAGGACACTTGGGGAAGGTGCTGCACCCAGTGAAGGAAGGATCAGAGGAGGGATAACCCCGTTATCCTGGGCTCCTGAGCCCTGGAAACTCCTATATGGGACAGGGCTGAGGGGCTGAGGACAGCATTATCCTTTACCATGCTGTGCTCTGAACTGTGAGCAGGCAACAAGGGATGAGCTTCTAATTGCTCTCTCTGTTCACAAATTCACATAACAAAAAATGATGAATTTAATGCCTGCATGCCACATTTCATGAAATAGAGAGCAGACAGGAGACTGCAGTGGCAAAACCTCCCAGTCAGATCCAAGCTTAATAACTGAGTGCAATCACCAGGTCCCAGGCTACAAGATAATACAATGACAGCAATGAGGATGTAAATATAATGATCCAGAAGAGCAGTAAGTGGAAAAAACAATTGTTATACCCTGAGAGACCGTTGAAAGAGTGTTTGACTGATGGTTTCAAAATGACAAAGGGAATTAGAAAGAGTCAACACAGCTACAATAACATTAAAACTGAGATTTGGAGCACAGCCCAATATAAAGAGATCTAACATGTCAGCTTTTAAGAAATATGGCACCTGAGCTGAAATTATTTATCACACGGGGTGTGTGATAAGCACAGCCATTGTTTGTCACAACCAA